CTGGACCGAATTAGCCACATGACAGTGCCTGGAGAGAGTGTGGGGTAAGGGGTGCGCCTTAATTGAAAACTGCGACCATCGCGGACCTGCGGTTCCCATGGTGAAGACTTAAAATAGTCGCTTCATGGCTGTGCTCGCGTGTGAACCTTGTGCCGCTGCGAAATGGCGTCACCGAGGAAGTGATACTGTGACTGCTTCTTGTTCGAAGACCGGAAATAAGGCCCAGGCAACAATGAAGACCAAGGAACTCGCATGTTTGCACGTTTTTACAGTCTAATATTGAGGTAGGCTTATTTATGTTTGTTTATATTGTAACATGCATATCCGTTGCTAGGGAACAGCTAGGTAAACACGTTCCCGCGAAGAAAAATTCTTGGCCAACAATAGGCAGAGGGTTTTCCATTGCTAGGCAACGAGCAGCAAACAAGTTCCGTGTTTTCTATGTGGTCTGTGCGGAGGCTGTATAACGAGGTAAACAGAATGACACCAGCAGTTCAGGGCGATTGAGAGACTAGTGCGGAGCGCAATGCAATTTCTGCATACTTCAAGAGAAGATTATAAAAGTATCGAAGATAACGGACTGACAGACATAATCCAGTAGCTGAGTCCCGGAGGCTACAAACGAAGATTAGAATTTAAATGTTGAAGACTTTACTTTTTATGTTGTTGTTCGAGTAATAATTTGGAGTGTTATAATTCTTTGTAGTTATCCAGTAAATCGATTGTCAATTCAAACCCGCGTCTTAGTCACCAATACACGTGACAATATATTCATTTATATGTATTCAGTGCCCATTTCGTAGGAGGTTGGATGGTTCCCAGAACCGTTCTGAGCTCGGTGGAAAACACGATACGTGGACGAAGGTTTCCTTCATCACGGATGTTGATGGATATCGTCTCTGAAACGTCGAATTTTGAGCCCATATCAACAGCGGTGGTTGCCCTAGAAGACGTCAGTGTAACAAGTAACACGTATTCATATACAAAGTGGCACAAATAACTTTTATTACTGGCGTTCATAAATAAAGTTACAGTACGCGTTGAGCCTTGTTTGGAGGAAAATAACCCAATTACACAAAACCGATGCACAGCTTGATGAATTATTGAGTTGGTTGGAACTTTGTATTCGGGAAATTAATTTTCTTTGCATGTAGTATTCTAGCAGTGACGAAATACGGCCTGAGCCAGCTTTAAAATAACATTCGACAGCAGAACACTTTGTTAAACAGTATACCGTTTTATCAGCCCAAATTTATCAAGTTGTGAAATAGAAAGAAACATTATTTTGAAAGCACATATTAAAACTCGTTTTATTTAAGTGTTATATTTAGGAATGACGATTGTGGAATCTTGTAGCCCAGTGCTATTCTAATACCTCTATGGACGTTATTCCTTGACGAGCTTATAGTATCACAGTTTGTCAAGAAATGCCCCTCCTTTTATGGGAGCTGAAATTTCTTTACCGAGTTTGCAGGATTCCGCCACTGGACTTTATCCTGGACCAGCTAAATCCAGTCTCCTTCCTAACACCAAATTTATCAAAGATGATTCTTAATATTATTATCCGGTCTATGCATGGATCTCGCTAATGGCCCATTCTCTCCAGGTTTCCCGACTAAAGCCCCTTCTTATTTTCCCTATGCGTGCCAATGCAGTTTTACCTCAATGGAAGATAAAATATCCCTTAACAGAAAGAAATAGAGTGGAATTTTGTGGTACTGCTTAATATGAGTTGTCTACTTCTGTCATTCTGTATAATCGTGTGTTTGGCAAGTCGTTAGGCTGGGCCCACACGAGCGCTCAAAATGCGTCCGTTATGACAAGAGAGGCGAATACTACGGTTTCTTCTGGCTTCATTGCAGAGAAAAAACTACGCACCGCATTCTGAAACTGTGTGGTGTCCTCAGCAACGTCCGTCATAGAGTACGTGCGTTGTAACGGACGTATTTCGTGCGCTCGTGTGGTCCCAGCCTTAACAGCAGCTGTAGAATCTCTTTGTAACTGGATGAGTTATCGAGTGGTGTACGAGAATTTCTTGGAGAAGGGAGTAAATGTCTGCTGTGATATCCAGGATAGGTGCTTAGCCGACTCGTATGGCCTCGAAGGATGCAGTTTGATAGATACAACTACTTCGCCCGGTGTGTGGGTAGTTAGACTAGAGCCCAACCTAAAGGAGTGAGAATTCTTTTGGAAACTCGTGTCTTCGAAACCAGAAGGAAACCAGTAAACATAGGAGCCACGTCTTGTGCTCTTATTTGCTTTTAAACTTACTGCTCTAGAACGGAAGAAAAGTTGCTCAAAGCCGCATCCTCGCTGGAAGCGAAATGTTAACCATAAAGTTCGTGTTTGTGTGCTGTCGTGGTTTTAGTCCGCAAGCGAACTATACCGACCGAGAGACCGCCGCTTGTCGGCGAGGTTAGTGCCTGACTGCCTCTGTGGTCTTGTGGTCAGAGGTCCGGCTTCGATTCCCGGCCCTATCAGATTTTTATGAGAAGTAGTGGGTCTGTAACGCGATCCACTCAGCCCCGTGAAAATAATTAAGAAGCTATTTCAAGGAAATAGCCACTCCGGTCTAGGAAACCGAAATTAACGTTCGTGGGGATTCGTTGTGCTGACCATGCCACACCCTCTCTCCGCTAAAGTTGGCCACGAAGTAGGCTACTCTCTGTCCTCTGTCATGTTTGGTACCTGAAACTGTTCAACGCATTTCAACAAAATATATTTTGGGGTGACGCTTGACAGAAAATAGTACAATAATTATAGCCTGTCATGTTCTTCACTGTTTCGTCACTGTTGCCAATCTGTTTGGTATTTGGAAAACTTTCCCCCGCACCGCTCCACAGCGGTTTATGGTAGAAAAGATCTATGATGTCACACTCTTTTAAGTACACGAATTTTTTATAACGCAAATTTAATTATAAGTAAGTTTCTTGAAATGTTCTATATGTAATAATACAAATGCCTGAATGCAGCAATTCATTTGGTTGTAGTTCTTTGTCTTTTCTTCCTCTACACTACATGTTTCGGTCGTAACTGGGCATCATCAGGTGTATTTTTCACTACGTAGCTGTCACATTGCACACAGTCCAAAATCTAAAACACCAGCCTGTCGGTTTTGTTTAAAATCTCGCCGTTACATAATTATTACATATAGAAATTATAGTGCAACAGGATGCTTAAATATAATATAGTTCTTGAAATGTACACATTTTCATGTCACGAGATTAAAATTTCCTCTTATTTTTTATGAAGTTTGTTTGGAAAGACATATAGAAGCAGAATATAATGCAATATGCAAGAAGTAAAGAGTTTATTACTGATGTGTGACATAAGACTTGCAGTTTAATTACCAAATTCAGGGCAGTTTATCTTTACGAAACACACGAATGGTATGTTAACTAATCATTTGTAATTTACGATTCTTTGAATCGTGAAGCTTCCAGTTGATTCCTGTCCATTGGTACCTAATGGAAATGGTTACTTTGTAGGGAATCATCATCAGTAATCTGTCAAGACGACAGGTCCACAGTTTCTTCCAAAACAGTTCCTCCATTTAATGCGATCTAGAGCTTTCTCCTTCAAATGACAGTATCCTCTTCTGTCCCCAAGGTCATCCAGCATCTTCTTACGTCTTCTTCCTCGTCTTCTTGTCACTTCTATCCGCCCCTCTATCTTTCCTTCAATAACTTCTTTTAGAAGGCAGTTTCTGCGTAAAACATGACCAATCCAATTAGCCTTCCGTTTTCTTATTTCGTGTAGGATATTCCTCTGCTCACTGACTCTAATTAACACTTCTTCATTTCTCACATAATCGGTCCAACTGATCTTCTCCATCCTTCTCCAACACCACATTTCGAAACTTTCCAGATGTTTCTGATCTACTGCCCTAAGTGTCCATGTTTCAGCCCCATACAGAGCTATGCTCCAAATGTAGCATTTCACTAGTTTCTTCCTCAAATTTAAGTCCAATTTGCTGGTAAAAAGATTCTTGTTCTTGCTAAATGCAGCTTTTGCCATGGCAATCCTGGATTTAATTTCACTAGTACACCTTCCATCATCTGTTAACGAGCTACCCAAATATTTAAAACATTTCACATTCTCCAGTTGTTTTTGGTCTATCTTTATTGTGACTGCGGTTGGTTGTCTCGAAATTTTCATTACTTTTGTTTTTTCCACATTCATTTCCATGCCATAGCACCTTCCAGTTTCAGTTAGTCTATCAATCATGCCCTGTAGCACAGTTTCTTCCTTAGCCATTAACACAAGGTCATCTGCATATTTCACAGTTTGAATAATTTGTCCTCCTACTTTGAAGGGAATATTGAGATTAATTAAGAATTTCATAAGTTACACTCTTTAGTAAATGATGCTCTTAAGTGTGGGTAGCTTGTCCAGTGTTTAGGTAGAGGCCTTGCGACAGGCTGATCACTCGTCCAAGGAGTTTTACCGTCTGTAAAAATGATAAAATAAAACAAGCTCGACACCATAAAGGTATAAGAGGAACGGCTTAAGTAAAGTAAAGACATTTATTGGCTTAATTATGTTTGGATATTTATGAAAGTTTTATTACAGTCCTCTAAGTCCGATTATGAAACACCGTGACCCCTGCTCCGTAAGGCATACATCGTGTATACTGTTTTAACGGTCTAAAGGCTTGAAGTGTCGGAAGCAATTGGAGCTGCAGGTTCTGTAGCACTGGCATGAGGAGTCAATACTGGGTCCAACACAAATAATTCCTTACTAGTCAGAAGATGCTAATAATGTTACTTAGTTGGGGGAGGGGCAGCTTCGTGGTGCCACTTCACGTAGAACATCATCGAGGACTGCTGGTGCGACATTGTGGACCTGTTAACATCTTTAGGCAATATTTGTCGTTGATCGTTGCGACTGTAAGGCCTTTGTGCTGTAGTAGATCAAGGCATGTTTTCGCAGCAGCAGACTTGCTGGTTTCTGTGGACACAGCAACGAATGTAGTCACAGTGGGACACTCGTTTGTGCAGGTACCTCGACGGATCTGGTTCCGACCTTACTCGGCATGTACGACGCTCTGATCGGGCGCTCATCGCCGCAAGCGACTGAGCACTCCATGGAGGAGGCGCGGATCGGCGTCGTGACATCAGGGGTGTCCCGTCCCCTCTCCATCAGCTCCATCGCCTCCTCGTCTTCATCTTCTTCTGGCACCAGCAGTTGTTCCGGCGCTGGAGGACGCCGACTGGGTGCCGCCCCCAAGTCGTCAGCGTATCTGGCGTCCATCGAGTCTTTGGAGGACGACAGCGACGATCCAGAGAACGGGGGTGGTGGAGGTGGCGGTGGAGGCGCCAAACAACGCTTACATCATCAGAAACCCATTGGTAGCCGTGCGGAAAGGCTTAAGGGTGGCAGTGGTGGATCTCAAGGTCAGTACACTATTTACACGTTACCAAGTTTCGGTCATAAGCAAAGGGCAACCTGTTTGTTGGTTAGCTGATACAGATGCGACTCAGTTGTAATTGTTCACTTTTGTGATCACATTGAACCAGTAAGGTCCAAAACCTAACTGAAAATTTATCAACTTAACCCAAAATCTGCAAGAGTGAAAAGGCGGAGTGGAGAAAAAGAAAAAGCGAGGGTTGTGGGGATCTGAAATAACTATAGGCCGGTCACGGTAACCGAGCGGTCTAAGGCATGCACTGTCTTCGCTCGCTCGGAGGCCGGGATCGAGGGTTTGAATCCAACTCGGGCATGGATGTTTGGTGTGTGCACACGCGCGCTCATTTTTATGTGTTTGTGTGCAGGTAGAGGCCTTGCGACGAGCTGATCACCCGCCCAAGGAGTCCTACCGAATGTCTTAAGATCTAGTAAACCGAAGTGAAACGGCGATTTTCATGGAGGTAGGCCAAGGCCCAAAAAGGGTCTGTAGCGCCAAAAGAAAAAAAATAATTATAATCAAGATTTTAATGTTGGAGATTCGTTTCTGAATATTTAAATATTTAGTTGCTCTAATGATGTTGAAATTGAAATCAGCGAAGAAGTCAAGATGAGTATCACCCCAGACAGTGTGTGTTACGGTATACAGCTGTGGGCTGAGTCGTATTAGGAATTAAAATCAGAAATCCTTGACGTTATTTGATCATAAAAGGAAACACAAATGTTGTGAATTGCCGCAAGATATTGTAGTGCGATCATCTAACTTACCTGAATGATGTATCTAGACACTTACAGACAAGCTAGAAGTCAGCACGTAAGGAAGAAACCTTTATACTTGTAGGTTAACTTCTTCAGACAAAACTGCTGCTTTGAAATATCAGGTAAAACTATATAAAATAAATGTAATCTAAGGCAACATGGATATATTTTGTTTTCGAAAACTGCTGAAACAAAATAGTCTTTTTTTTATTGCTAGTGGGGTGGGACTAAGTTCCTTGTACTGCGGCCAATTCTGGCCTATTGCACCAGCCCTAGATGATAGGTGAGGGTGATTGTGGAGCAATTGGTAAAATGAAGATTGGCAGGGGAACCGAAGTACTCGGAGGAAACCTACCCCAGCGCCACTTTGTCCACCACAAATCCCACTTGACCAGACCCCGGGATCGAACCCTGGCCGCCGCGGTGGGAAGCCAGCGACTAACCGCTTGAGCTATGGCGCGGCCTAAATAAAGTCGTAGGAATTGAGTTGTGGACACTTTATCGTATAATGTAAAGCTATCCCTGTAGCAGGCTGCGAAGGCCCATAGGGTTGTGAGCCGTCGAGGCTCCCACGTTTTCTAGACAGTCGGCTAACTGATGGCGGTAATGTTTTCAGCCTTACGCGCCGGCAGCCCTTTACCCCCCAGGAAGATTCCTGTTACTCATTTCTTTTAGAGGCTGAGTTGACCCCAGGGCCATAGTGCGCCTAGAAGGTTTAAGTACACGTAAATTGAAAACAAAAATCATATTATCGGGACTTGAACCTGCGACCTTCCGGCTTCAAGCATAGTGCCTCAACCAACTACGCTACCGCGTGCCCATACACTGCATCGCTAGAGGAAGAATCATTTTTTTAATGTGAAACCGGAAAAATAAAGTTGTGTTGAATAACAACAATAATAGTATTATTAATAATAATAATAAATTTAAGTACGAAGTCGTAATTTGAGAGTATGACGCGAAATAATTTTCGATTCATTGTGGTTACTAAGTAAGAAGGAAACCCCATCATAGGAGTCGGAGAGAGCACGTCAGTTTGCGCATCATGAACTGGGATTCTGTGCTCTCGTCTGAATTAAAACCAACTCGAGGGAAAGACTGCAGTTGAGAATTAAATGCGGGTATGTTTATTTGAAATTCGTTCCAGTATTAACGAAATACGCAAATATCACGAGTTACTTGTTTCACATTAAATGTTCCTCTCTGTTTTACTATTTTGTACTCAAACATACGTTAAAAACCCTCCGATATATTTTTTTTTATCTTCATGTTCTTATACTGGAAGGAGTGCCTGGAATTGTAATGCATAACCTTAGAGCGTCTTCAGCCAAGACGTTTGAGAACCACTGGCATGCACAAATACAAAAACTTTTGTGACCCTTAATGCCAAAAGGAAGCGTTTCCAGACACGGGTGTGTTAACAAAATATGATCAGACTGAACCCATCTATCTAACCACAGAGCGTTGTAACACACACACACATATATATATATATATATATATATATATATACATCCTGTATGTGTCGAAATATAATAGCATCACATCTGTATCCAAGTTTCACTTATAGCGCTGAATATAATTATGTACGCTAAGTTATGGAAGCAAGCACAGTGTAGGCTGTCCGAAGATACAGTTGGAAGTGCCTTGTTGACTCGTTGAAGACCCAAGCAGTGCCTAGTGTCACAAGCCGAATTCTGTTTTGTAAATATGGCTGGGCGACTCACCAGTGTTCGAAGTGGATGTAGGGGTTCTAGTTGGTTGATCACACGATCACAACTCTTACTTCCATGCTACTGGACATTCGGGTAGAAGGAATAATTTGAATATCAATGGCCTTGCGGAAGACAATATTGGTGCTGAGGCTTAAAAGGAAGTCCTCGACACCAGAGAGGCGTGTTCTTCGGATACACCCATACAGAAACTGATGTCGCGCTGACGCTGTCAGTGCTCATACATACTCCTTCACACCGAAACTTAAGATTGCTTCGCGTGACAACTGCGAACGAGTTTCTATCCCGTGACCAGGCAGCAAGGAAACTGGGAAATTTGTGTAGGAGGACCACCCTGAAGTCTCTCGGTCACTAATCACATGCCCAGCCTCTGAAACTTGGACTGCTTTTCAAGAACGATCCAGTTTCCCTTCGCAGCTTAGGATTTCGAGTCGTATGGTCGAACTGCGACTGCGCTGCTGCAGGAGGCCAAGGTACTCCAGGACCGCGGAATCAAGGACTAAGACAGTACGTCAAAGTTATGTTTCTGAATGAAATGCTTTGACAAAAGAAACAGAAATAGCACGAGGGTGGGGAAAAATTACGTAAGAAACAACATAATTTGTACTGTTCATCATATGTAATTAGTGCGATAAAAACAAGGAAATGGATGGGACATGTAGCACGCATGGGAATATGAGATATTCATAGAGGGTAGTGGCGGGACGTGACTTTTTCAAAAGTGCTAGCCAGATCCCACGGTAGAGGGAGGCCGTGAACACTTTGACGTTTACGAGTAAGTATGTCATACGAAACAAGTACGCAAATTTGATCTAAGTTTCAAGAAGGTTAAGGAATAAAATAGGAAAGAAATATATACCAAGGAAAAATGATTAGCGACAAATGAGTTTAAGTTTTTATTACACCTTATACTTCAGTTCAATGCAATGATTTTTGTCAGTGAAAACATCTATTAAGGAATCACAAAAGTTCAAAATCTTTTTTAAGTCGTGAAGAATTTTCTTCTCATTTGCCATCAGTGATAACTAACTGAGTCGCTTCTAAATTGGCAATAATGGATCTTCTGTTCGAAGAAAAATGGCTGTTTCATTTAAGTGTGTTCACATTTTTTTTCCAGCTAACATGATAGCTTGGAATATCATGCATTTTCTCCTCTCCCATCGCGTATCTTCCAGTTGCGCCTGCGCGTACAAACGACCAGCGTAAGCCTGAACGAAATTGCTGATATACCCATAGCAGGAGGTGGCAGATGATGCATTATCTGATTGCTTCTCATGCCAATATATGGAGTAGCACTGAAGTGATACTATGCATTTTGTAAAGCGTTAGCCGGGCTTGCACGGTTAATATGAACGCTCCACCACTGATGGAGAGGATGATAATATTAAAATGAATCCTAAATAAATAGGACGTGAGGATGTGGAGTCAGTTGGCAGCTGGAGTCATCTTGCTCAGGACAAGATCCAGTGGTGGATTTGTTGTGGACACGGTGATGAACCATCGGGTTTCATAGTAGGCGAGCAGTGCCTTGAATCCATGACCCTAGCAGCTTGGTAACGGGTAAGGTGAACACATGGGGTGGGTCGGAATTAAGATGTCAAATTTTTGTAAGTGGTTAAATTCTGCACACGTTTTTCAGAAACCAAAACTCTATGCTCTTCTTCGTTTTCTCTTTTGTTTGAATGCGTTTTAATTATTGTTTCTTTCATTCGTTTAGATCGTTCCTTTGTGTTCTGTTTATTTTCCTCTTTTTTCGGCCCTCGGAAAGGGAACGAGCGCATTATAGGGCCGCAATTATTCGAGCTGCTTATGCCCTTCTTGTTTTCCTCATGTAAGGCAGAAAATAACAGGAGTCTATGTCCACTGTTATACTTGAATGCGTTGTGCTTATAGCTTACGCCACTCAGCTCAGTGAGATATTCCGTATGTGCTAGACGATCTTTGGTGATAATCAGAAACCGTCTGTGAATATGTGGATCACTTCAGATGAGTAAGGAAATCAAATTGTGCAGAGCATGGGCTTGGGATGGCAGGAACGGAAGAAAATGCGAACAGTAGAAATTAGAATTTCAAATCTGTTAACCGACTGTACACGGTTAGACACACACACACACACACACACAAGTGGGTGAAACCCGAACTATAATAACATGTAAGAAGACATTTATGATAAAAGGTAAAAGTAAAGCTGTCCCTGTAACAGGCCATGAAGGCCCGTAGGTTTGTGAGATGTTGAGGCTTCCACATTTTCTAGACAGTCGGCTCGCAGATGGGGGTAAGCTCAGCCTTACGCGCCGGCCGCCCTTTACCTCCAGGTAGATTTCTGGTACAAATTTCTGTTAGAAGCTGAATCGACCCCAGGACCATAGTGCGACTGGAAGGATTAGGTAAATTGAAAAAAATCCAGTGGCTTTATCGGGAGTCGAACCCGTGACCTTCCGGCTTGTAGCTTATTGCGTGAACTAACTACGCTGCCGCGTGCCCCCGGCTACTCATGGTTTCGTATTTTATTTAACGTTGCTTCTTCAGCTTCATAAATTACAGGGGGACGATTGTTAATGATGAATTTAGAAGGATTTGGAGAAAATCTGTCGTGGGCTGGTTAGTGTGTTATCACGTCATTTGACTGGAACGGCTGAGTGTGTGGCAACCTGAGAGTAAGCTGCTTCAGGACGGAAGAAGAATGGATTCCTGAATGTTAAGAATAAGAGGCAACCGAAGCGAACGGAGAAGTTCCTGGAGGTAGGCCTAGGCCCACTGGGGCTGTAGTGCCAAGGGGGGAAAAAGGAATAAGAGGCAGTAGTGGTCACTACTCAGCCTCGACGTTCGAGTGTATAAGCCTATCTTGTGCTCGGCAATAAGGGCTTAGGTCAGAAATCATGGCGAAAAGCGTGCATTAACTGAAAGACCGTTGACTGTGGAATTAAGGCCTAGTTATCATGCTTATTAATTTTCATTCCATGAAGACTGGACTGAAGCCTTTAATGTTGTTCGAAAGAGAGAAACATGTATATAATTTTGTCGTTAAGTCGAAACTAATAAAAATGTGACCTATTGCCATCTTTCTGAACACAGACGATGTATAGAAAGATACAACCATGTCGATAGAAAGTGCAAAAATAGGTTGCCGAGGATTGCATGGCATTATGTACCAACAGAGGCTAGAGTAAGGTTAAGGTCAAGGAGACGCTGGAAGGAGGAATTTAAGATCAGTGAAGTTATAGTTCCACTTCATATCGTGGTATTTAATAAAGCACTTTACTTTTTTGCATTATACACATTGAGATGTCTCATCCATGGAGATAAGCACAGCACCACACAAGATCAATTTCGCGATGCAGACGTTGCAAGTATAGTGCAGAGCAGACGCCGCTGTCATCAGCAGCCAAGTTAGCCGAGGTCGTCAGAAGGAGATGCCACTTCTCTGGGCCGAGGTTAACGTTGTTCGTATCATCATGATATCCGGTTCATGCTTTGCAACAGTGGACGCCATTCTTGTCGCAGCGACGTCATAACGGCTTATCGCGGCGCCATCTTGCAAACAGAGAGAGTCTTTGTTGCAACAGACCCAGAAATGTCGCAGCTCGGCAGAAGAGGATGTTGTGTGTGTGTGTGTGTGTGTGAAGAACAGAACGTATATGGAAATATGGGTTGACTGAGAAGGAAGAAGTATGTGGGAATATGACAGCGGAAGGATACAGAACGTAATTTAATATCCCGCATAAATAGTCATACTATTCTCGCTCGGCAGTCTGAAAGAAACCAGCATGATCCAATTCCGGGATCTTAATAAACACTGGACAGTGTCTGGATTCTGTCTTTATTATCATTACTTCCGTCTTCTGTTCTTTCTTCTTTCTTTCTTTCTTTCTTTCTTTCTTTCTTTCTTTCTTTCTTTCTTTCTTTCTTTCTTTCTTTCTCCCCCCCCCATTTTTGCTCTCTGATTTATAACTCCTTTTTTCTCACAATTTCCTTTTCATTTCTTCATTTGTCTCTGTCTTTTGCGGCCGTCACCTCATATTCGATGTCGGAAACTACTAAACGAATTTCAGTGAAGTTTTGGATTAATGTTGGTAGTTATTACGGAAATTTTATTTAGGTTGGTTTGGGTCAAAACATTGCATGAAGCTCAGCCCGGCCCATCAGATAGAGAATTTGTATGTAACGTATAGTGGACCTTGTTTTGTGATTGCAAAGTCTAATGGGTCCAGTGTTTTATTTAAATCAGTAGGCCAATATGTTGGCTCTCCTGTTGATATGTAGTTCAGGTTATTTTGTTATATAGCATTCAGCAGATTTCTACCCTTAGGTGTGATCAGTCTGGAGCCCCATGCAGTGTGTTTGGCGTTCCAGTCGCCCGCCGCTAGGTAGTGTGAACCAAGTTTGAGCAGGAAATCTTCGTATTCTTGATGGGAGATCGCATGTCTTGGGGGGCCGTATATTGCAGCGATGACCATAGGTCGGGCCATGGATTCTAGCTGTATTATTGCGCTTTCTATTTTGTTCGTGATATATGGTTCTGTTGCGCAGTGTTTCAACTTTGTTTTGATAATTAGAGCTGAACCTGCGTGGGCTGTCCCATCAGGGTGGTTGGCATAGTAGGTTGTATAATAAGGTATTTTGATGACGCTTCGTTCAGTAGTATGGCTTTCTGACATGAGTAGGATGTCTATTTTATTTGGTTTTAGAAATACAGTAATTTCTTCAATATGGTTGTTTATCCCGTTGGGATTCTATTCTGCTATCATTACTGTTTTCGCTGTTTGTTTATAATAGTGGTTAGCATGGTTAATATCATAGTGTTTTGGTTGTGAAGGTGGTTGAACATGTTTTTAAATTCGTTGAGAAACACTGTAAGCTGACTTGCGATATCTGCGGGACTGTTGTTGGTTTGGTGAGTCGCTGGGCTTTCAGTTGCTGCTTGTGAATAACTTATATTTTGACGTACGTAGTTTGTGGCTTGTTGAGGTGTATTGATTCTTTTGGGATTATCTTTGTTTCTTGAATTAATTAGATCACGGTATTCGGTGCAGCCTTTGTAATTAGCAGGATGATTTCTGTTGCAAAGGACACATTTAGCTGGGGTGTCTCTGGGTTTTATACAGGATTGTGTGTCATGCGGTCCACTACATTTGACACAGTTGAATGTCTTGGTACAACATTTTCTTGAATGACCATAGTCTTGGCATCTTGTGCATTGTACAATAGTGTTTTTGCGTCTGGGCGGTTCAATACGAATTTTGCAGTTTAGCAAAAATTCTAAGTTGTAAATTTCTTTGTTGTTGCTTTGTGGTTCCAAGTGAACAAAGAAGAGACTTCTTTGCTGACTCTATGTTTTACGTTTCTCATGTTTCTTACTTTATGCCCTTTCTTGTTTAATTCTTCTGTTATGTCGGGTATTGATATAGAGTGATGCAGATCGCGAATTACTATTCTGTACGCTCTTTCCTGTTTCGGTTGGTACGTGTGATGTATGATTTTTTCCTCCCTAACGTGTTGGATATTTAGCATTGCTTTGAAGTTATTCACCCCGTAAATGCAGATAGGTGGTGGTTTGGGATATCAGGATTCTTTGAGGTTGGTGGTTACCTGTTTTGGTTGTAATCGCGGGGTAGTTCACTAAGAGAGTCAAATCTGTTAGTAGTCTGGATTTGCTCTGCAATTTCGGCAGGTGTTTGGTAGTTTATTCTTTTTCGTTTGTTACTCTGTTTTGCATTTATGTTTGTTGAAGCTGTCTTCTTCACTCATGTTTAGGTCGTCTTCGCTGTACGAAGTAGTATCACTTCTACGATTGTATGTGTTGGGTTGTGTTGATGAAGAAATCTGGTTCGTGCTGGTGTTAACGCATATGTCGGTTGTAGCTGATGGTGAATTTGTTGATTGGGTTGCGGTAGGTGTGCTTGATTTGTTGTTATCTGGTTCGTCCTTATCGGCGGAAATCGTAAGTTGTATGACCATTGGTTTGGTTGATTGTAATAGGCCTGCGATGTTTGTGGTTGGTTTGGCGTGGTCTGTAGAGGAGGCTGACTGTGCATGGCTGGAGCTGGCCCGGTCTGTAGAGGAGGCTGACTGTGCATGGCTGGTGCTGGCCTGTAGAGGAGGCTGACTGTGCATGGCTGGAGCTGGCCCGGTCTGTAGAGGAGGCTGACTATGCATGGCTGGTGCTGGCCCGTAGAGGAGGCTGACTGTGCATGGCTGGAGCTGGCCCGGTCTGTAGAGGAGGCTGACTGTGCATGGCTGGTGCTGGCCTGTAGAGGAGGCTGACTGTGCATGGCTGGAGCTGGCCCGGTCTGTAGAGGAGGCTGACTATGCATGGCTGGTGCTGGCCCGTAGAGGAGGCTGACTGTGCATGGCTGGAGCTGGCCCGGTCTGTAGAGGAGGCTGACTGTGCATGGCTGGTGCTGGCCTGTAGAGGAGGCTGACTGTGCATGGCTGGAGCTGGCCCGGTCTGTAGAGGAGGCTGACTATGCATGGCTGGTGCTGGCCCGTAGAGGAGGCTGACTGTGCATGGCTGGTGCTGGCCTGTAGAGGAGGCTGATTGAGCATAGCTGGAGCTGGCCCGGTCTGTAGAGGAGGCTGATTGAGCATGGCTGGAGCTGTCCCAGTTTCGTTCCCGATTGGGAACGTCACTCGCTCTGCGGAATCTTTTTGCGCTGAGTTAGTTGTATGCACGTCGGATTGAATCTGCGTGTTGTACAGCTGCTTAATTCGACTTGTACGTTTGGGTTTGTCTTCCCTTTCAGCTATAAGCACTGCTTTATGGAGCGACACCTGACACGCGTCCGCACTGTTCTCTCCTAGGAAGCGTACTTATTTTGAGATATGGTGAATTTTTAAGGAAATTTAAGCAAAAAGGGTAATTAAAGTTAATGTGATTCGGTTCATATGTAGTATATCTTTGAAATTCATATAGGTTGTGTACTATAGGTGTAAGATTTACACGTGCAAAATTTAAATACCAGCTACAAGAATTGCATAACTGATAACTGAAAATTCAGACCAACAAGGAATGTAAAATCGCAAAGAAGGAAACCGTGTTTGTTCCAAGTCAGATAAAATTTCCAATAATATCTGTAATTTAGTTAACAGTAGGGTGAAAGGTAAAGCTATCCCTGTAACAGGCCGTGAAGGCCAATAGAATTGTGAGACATGGAGGCTTCCACATTTTCTCTAGACAATCGGCTGTCAGATGGCGGTAATGTTGTCAGGCTTACGCGCCGGTCGCGTTTTACTCCCCAGAAAGATTCCTGGTACTCATTTCTGTTAAGAGGCTGAGTCGGCCCCAGAGCCGTAGTGCGTTTGGAAGGATTAGGTCAATTGAACTTGAACCCGCGACCTTCCGGCTTGTAGCATAATGCCTCAATCAAGTTAACGGTATGGTCAGACCGAAATATTTCCCTCACCTATGTCTATATGTTCGGTTTTCCAGGGTCCGGTGACAGCGGCGTGTGTAGCCCCTGCAGCTACATCAGTTCCCCGTGTCCCCCGCCAGGTCGGCCCCGCTACTGCGACCCTCATCTCAACTACATGGACCGTGTCGTCATGGAGATTGTGGAGACAGAGGGAGTATACGTAAGAGATCTCCAGCAAGTGATCGAGGTGAGTGGGGGGGGAGATAACAAATAGCTGAAAGGCGTCCATATAATGTGAACATACGAGTAATGCAGGTTCTGAGATTACAGGATATAGCCCTTCTCTCTTCCCGGTATCCTTACTTCCCGCCTCCGTGGTCCTGTTCTAGGGGACCGTACAAGGCATACTCAGGCATAAAACGACCATTAGCATACTGCAGTTACAAAAGGTGCACAGAGTCCGTAGAGACCTGTATGCTGTAACAGCGCGAATATACTCGTGCCGTAACTATGGTGCAACAAACGTAGCGCCTACATAGACAGATCGGCCCCTCCCTCGCCGAAGGGGAGGCCCCATTTCTAAACACGCACATGTCTAGGAGAGAACATAAATCTTGGACATGGATCTCCAGGAAACCTGAAGCGAGGAATGACTGTGCTGGCGAGTGCCAGCAGCAATCCGACCGACCACCCACCCACCATACGGCGCCATGTCTGTAAGGAGTAGATAAGATGTGACGTAACATGACGTTTTTTTTCTGGTTATATCGTTTCGGTTTTAGAACGCGAAAAGGGTATTTGTTTGCTGAAGCGCACTTACGTCGGCCAGTTACGGGGGTAAAAATCCCTGTTCTTATTTCCCGTTGTCTCTGCGGTGTACTAAATGCGAACCCAGAAGGTGAATTTGAGCCACACATAGTTACGAACGTTCAGTAAGAGTTCACTAAAGATGTGAAATAAAAACAATTTATTTCTATTTAGTTTTTTAAAAAAACTTCTGGCGAAGACCGCATACTTTTTGTCTGTTTGCCTGCTTAAGCCCTGCATGAATTAAGAGAAACGAAAACTCACAATTTTGATCAAACATTGAGTTGGAATTAAAATTTGGTAGGGACAGTTGAATTGCTGTCAAGACAAAGGGTTAACAAATGTGTACGATGTTCAGCGGGTGGACTCGTAGAACTTTCTCGAGGAGCTAGGAGACCGTCCGTAACGTACGATAAATGACAGGGAATAAACGATGAATAGCCATAGTTATGTGCGGAATACGGCGCCAGCTGTCCTTCAAGGATCTAGGCTTTGTAACACGATTAAACATTGCGAGAGAGAGAGAAAGAGAGAGAGAGAGTAATGTTCAGCGAAACTGTACAGTCGTTTTGAAGTTGAAGGAGTTGTTGCAAATTTAATTGGAACCATTCTTCGAATTAAATTGATATTTTCCTTTGTGAACAATACACGACATGTTAATTTATTTAAATAAACTCGTGGACGCCATTTTTAACGTTTGCTGTGGCTTAGGAAATTAAAAAAAAATGTAAGTCTCTATTACACATTTTGAAATGATGCCTGTTTAAACAGCTTCCGGTTAAATACGTTTTAGATGGAACAGGTTAAACAGCGTAACGATAAAGTCGATGCGATTAGAATCTGCACGGTAGCAGTAGGCGGAGAGAGACGTCTTGCGCATCCTTTGGCTCTGTATAGCATTGCATCGTCGTGCTAGATCTGTGCGACTCAACGTTACGTTACGGCTGGAATAACTGCTAGCACGATAGCGCTCTAGTGGTTCAAGTACAGATGAGAGACGTGAAGGAGTCTGACTGACCAGTCTGCGGTAAGTGTTAACGGAACCTCTTAATCCCCAGAGGAATCTATTCGAAACCTCTCATCAGAGGCGCCGGCCTGCCGGTCCAGGGCAACTGGCTCCTTCCTGTTCGTTCCACATTAATACATGTTGGCTCCTTATACGCTGAAGGGACTTAAGATCCAAATAGGTTCGTTTGTAGCTGAAAGTTTCAGTAGTTTGCGTTGGAGAATGTGGATTGTTTAGGGCAGTGCTTCTCAAACCATAGGAACTAATTTTTGAGAATTTAGTAGTCACATAAAAGAACAAACTCCGTGAACTTTAGTCCGCAAACGAACTATACCGACCGAGCGACCAGCGTTTGTCGTCGAAGTTAGTGCCAACTTTAGCGGATAGAGGCTGTCGCGTGGTCAGCGCAACGGATTCTTACGGCCGTTAATCTCGGTTTTCTAGACCGGAGCCGCTGTTTTCTTGAAATAGCTCCTCGGTTATCATCACGAAGTTGAGTGAACCCCGTTCCAGACCCACTGCTTCCAAGAAAATCTGGTAGCGCCGGGAATCGAACCCGGGACCTCTGAGTCTGTAGCCAGGAACTCTGACCACTAGACCACATAGGCGGCCCTGGTAGTCACATATATGATAGAAATCAGTTATATTTACTGGATTGGGACGTTCGTTACCGGCTTCACAAGGCCATGCACCCTTTAATCAATTGAACCCAGTCCAAATACTGTTTCTCAACCACTTTTTAATATTATATTCCTACCCGTGCTCATGGAGGCACGCGGTAAAGTAGTTGGTTGAGGGGCTATGCTACAAGCCGGAAGGTCGCGGGTTCAAGTCCCGATGAGGCCATTGGATTTTTTTTTCAGTTGACCTAATCCTTCCAGCCGCACTATGGTCCTGGGGTCGACTCAGCCTCTAACAGAAATGAGTGCCAAGAATTAATTAAATATTTCCTGGGGAGTAAAGCGCGGCCGGCGCGTAAGGCTGACAGCCGATTGTCTTAGATAATGTGGGACCCTCAACGTCTCCCAGAACCCAATGGGTCTTCATGGCCTGGTGCAGGGATAGCTGTACTTTTTTACTTTTTACCTGTGCTCATAAGATGCGATTTATTTTTGCTATTTCAGACCAAAATTTCGAATTCTTTTCTCAGACGAGTTGTCTGTGTTTCGTCCTTCCTGTTTTAACCACCTCTTTATGGAGCTCCACATTATGTGATTTGATTGTCCGAAATTCTCTATTGCTTCATGACTGCTATGTTCTGATGTTCTCCTCAGCGCTTTTATCTCGAGCACCCTTAGTCATTATTGTTCCACCGGCGCGAAGGGCGCACCGAATACTTGAAGACATTCGCCGAAGCTAATTGAGTAGTGATGCATGTTTTATATGCCCCGTTGTTTTATAGAAAACGCACAGATTTTATAGAAAACACACAGAAACGCCAACGTTAATGATACAATTATTACGTTTTTGGACGTTATCCTTCGTCCTGTTTTTATTTAGAACGGAACGTTTCGGAGACTGCATTTTGCCTCCGTCTTCATGTAAAAGCCAACTCAGTTTGGTTCAATTGATGGAAGTAGTGTCTGCGAGTATGTCCTTTATTTATTGTAGACAATTACAATTGTTTATATGTTCTTTACACCTGTTTTATAAAATACACGAATGATAAGGATGTGTCCGCGTGTTCAGCCATCCATCCATATACTCGTGTTTCCTCTCCAAAGCTTATCATCCGACTTGTGTGAAAATCATTCAGTTTCAGTTCATATCGGTTCAATAAAAGCCTTACTTTACATTGAATATTTCCACCCACCCCCCTCTACAGTGGTTATGATAGCGAAATCCGAAGGGTCAGCATTGCTAACAGGAAAACCCACCGTTGGACACGACCCAGAGTCAGATTATCCATCTCTCCTCTCCTTCACATGCAACTTAATGTTATCTCCTGCAGTTTCCCTCTTGATCTTCCAGCTGGAAATAAAAGTGAAGAAATGGCTCTTAGTACAAAAATTTCATAGCATGAAATTGATAAATATGTAACTTTTGAAACACGTTTCAATTTGAATAATTTAATATAAAGGCATGAAAGTATTTATGATTGTTTGTTGTCAGATTGCAGCTGCAACAATACACTTTTGTCTGCGATAAATTAATAGCAGAGCCAGTGGAGTATAGGCCCCTTCTGTTGTCTAGTGGTCAGAGTTCCTAGCTACAGACCCAGAGGTCCGGGGTTCGATTCCCGGCATTACCAGATTATCTGAGTAGTGGGTCTTGAACGGGGTGCAATCAGTCTCGTTAGGATAATTGAGGAGTTATTTCAAGGAAATAGAGGCTCCGGTCTAGAAAACCGAAATTAACGGCCGTGGGGATCTGTTGCGCTGACCACGCGACACCCTCTATCCGCAAAAGTTGGCACTAACTTCGCTGACAAGCGGCTGTCACCTGGTCGGTATAGTTCGCTTGCAGACTACAAGCCACGGAGAAAAAACCTCAAACAGTCATCGTGCCTTGATTTAACGCAAGGGATTACACGAGTATAGACTTTATAAGTCGTCTCGTGAACCAAATTTTATTACTTTCAGTCATCAAATAATATATACATTTCGCATTCTCGCCATATTTGTATTGTAACTAACTAATATTGGCACTAACTTCGCCGACAAGCGGCAGTCGCTCGGTCGATATAGTTTGCTTGCGGACTCAAGCCACGGAGTTTGTTTTTGTTTTCGCCAGTGGAGTATGGAAAATTAAATAGAATGATTTTGAACATTGGAGCAGGCCTACACCTTCTTATTCTCATTCTTGACCGGTGTCAATGACCACGCGTAATGCACGAGAGCGACAGTTGCGTAGCCCGAAAGCCCCGTTACACCGGAACGCTTCAGGACCAAGAGAAATTACATATGAATGACACCTATGCGCGCCGGCTGGTTGTGATGTGTGGGGATAAGTCTGGCGCCTGGCGACTATGAAGTTGTCGTCACAGAATTCTTTGTTTGAGTGACCGCTCGGTCTACAATCTAACAAGGCCAGAGCCAAGCGTCTCCATAACTTGACCATTAAATCTCGACATCACAAGTAAGATCATCTGTATTCCTCTTTGTATTCTTTAATAAGGGCGTGAAGATCCATGCCGTCAGTCGTCTGCCGCGGAAGAAAATGTAACTCTTTTTAATTTATATTAAGGCTTGAAAGCCTAAATGCATTTTGGGCATATCTAGGCAAGCATTTACCCGAGAGAAAAATGTCAAGAATATAAGTCGTAGGAAGTCACAAAATATACGTATTATGTGATAGAGCGTGTACAGGGTGTAACTGAAAGTTGCCGAGAAACAGTGGGCACGAGTTCCACGTACTCGTCTCAAAACAAGAAATAATGTCCATATCAACTTGTGTCCGGAAACATTTAATTTGTTCGTTATGCCTGAAAGAAA